TCCGGTACTAGCCGGCCAATCAGGAAGCCGGGCGCCGTGTAATGACGCAACGCCCTAATTTCTGATTGGCCGGGTCATGAGATGACGAGTGTTCTCTGTAATATATTATTAATAATTTTCTCATAATATAAATTATTATTCCAAATTCTAAGACTAAAAGGCGATTGGGTTTACATATTTAATTAATATATCTTCATTCTTAAACGGCATCTCTTACTATGGCATGCTTCACACTATGGGGTTGATTTACTAAAGTAGCTGTGAATTATCACCTGATTTAATGAATGAGGTGAAGCTAAACAAAAATTCACTTTGTAAAGAATATCCAATTACCGTATTTGCGCTCCATAAGACGCACCCGACCATAGGACGCAGGGGTTATGTGACCGCTGCAGTTAGTGACAGCTGAGACAGGTGGCGCTGTGATTACAGCACCGCCTGTCTCAGTGATCACACAGAGCAGATGAAGAACGGACGTTCTTAGTCTGCTCTACCGGCTCTATGGTGAGCTCCTATGCCATGGTCACGGGTCCCCCAGAGGAGTGGGGGACCCCGAAAACCATGGCGGGGCACCTGGGACACAATCACCGCTGCTCTATTTGATACAAGTGATCTGATTAGATGACTTGTATTGATTGAAGTCAGCAAAGCTTTATATCATTTACTAAGCTGAGTAAAAATTCACTTTGTGACCAAATATATTTTCACTGTGCAATGTAAATTTTCACTTAGCTTAGTGAAAGAGGTGAACCTCTGCTGACCAATTTCGGGAAAGCACAAATTCAGTTTTATTTTACTTGAACATGGTTAGGTATTCTTTACAAAGTGTATTTTCACATAGTTTCACCTTATGCAAGTCAGGTTAAAATTTACAGTGTAAAGTGACCATGCTCCAGCAAGCATATCTTATTTTTTTTCAGCTCAGTTACCATTCAGTATGCAAAGCTAAAAGTCATTACTCCTTCAGTAGACATGTGCACTGCCAAAAAATTTGTTTCGTTTCGTTTCGTTTTAAATTCGGATTTGTGTTATTTCATTTTTCGGGATTCAGGTGTGAAAGTCAATTCGGAATTCGGATTCGGACGAAATTCGGTAGCGGTAGTTCGAACATTCGTTTCGTTTTCTGTTCTTATTCGTTTCTTATTCGTTTTGTTCGTTCGTTTGCAGCAAAGTGACATTTGAGGGGGAAAAAATATTTTTCTCCTTCTCTAATGTCACTTTGCTCCAACGAACGAAACAAATAAGAAACGAAAACGAACGTTCGAACTACCGCTACCGAATTTCGGAAATGGAAATTCAGATTTGTTTGCATTCGTTATGTCTGTAATTCGGAATTCGGATACATCCGAATGTCCGAAAATTCGTCTGAATTTCGATTCGGAACGAAACGAAACGCACATGTCTATCCTTCAGTAAATCAGCCTCAAAGAGGTCCTAATAGCATTTATGGTAAGGGAAAGTGTTACTGCTTCCTGTTCTTGATCCAGACAAGGAACACCCGACACGTTGCATACCCAAGAATAGAGAAGAGTATGAGGTATGGAGCATGCCCAGTGGAGCCAACTTAAAAAATGTGACTAACTGCTTAAGTTTGTGGAATAGTGGTCCACATTGTCAGAGCCTATAAGCTTTCCGCACATGTAGCAATCTGGCTGTACAGTACTCTTTAGATTTATCAACACGTTAATGTGATGACCTACCTAAGCAATCCATATATATTTATATACAGTGAAACAGATCCTCAAAGTACACAGTATAATGTCTTTTCAACATAGAGGTAACCTTTATGAATACTATGACTTATGGGAAAGGCTAGCCGGTAAGGCTGGTACGTTTCTAATTCTATGTACATGGTTAGTCCACTTTCAGCTGCATAACAGTCCATAGTATTTTTTATGTATGGCGATAAGGTGTACAATAAATAGAGAGGCTACACATGTTTACTATGCTGACTTTAGTGCCATCCTGCACACTTTGACAGGTCATCTTATGTGTTTGGATGTATGACATGGCAGTGGTCATATGCTGTGGTCTCTAATATCGGTTCATTTACCTGCTATTGTGTTTTTTCTGTTTTATTTAAAGTTTATCTTTATTTTTGCTTTGGTTTAAATGACCTATTTGCTTGCATGTTTTGAGACACTTTGTTTCTGTAACAAATATAAAAACTTTCAATAACAAATATCTGATTTACAAAATAATAAACACAGTGAATGGGACAAAAGGAGATTGTATGATGGGATTGTAACGTGTATTGTAAAACCCTTTTGTGACTTTATGCTTGACATAAAGTATTCAGATTTTCAGATATGATATGAGATAATCAATACTCACCAACAGCTTTGCAATTTGAGGGTCTACGTGTTTGGAATGCCCTGGTTTAGTAGCTCCTCACACTCTGTTTTTTTTTTACTCTAACACTGCCCATATTTTTGTATATCCAGTTAAATAAGAACCTCATCAAGAAGTTTCTTTAATTCATCAATGCTCTCGGTTGAGAATGCCGCCTGTGGAGGGAAATTCACAATTTCACTACTCTCACAGTAAAACCCACCCTACGATTTCTGAGATCGAACCCCCTTTCCTCCAACCTCCTGTTGTGTCCCCATGTTCTCAATACAGTTTTCTGATAGAACAGTTTGTTCCAAATATTGTGATACCGATTGATGACTTTGAAGACTGCAATAAGGTCTCCTCGTAATCACCTCTTTTCTAAAGTGAATAAGTTTAATTGCTGAAGGTTGTCGTCATAACTCAGGGCTTCTATCCCTTTTTTCAATCAAGATTTTTTTTACAAACAACATCGTATTTATGCGAACAAAACTGTTTAAATGCCAGCGTCCGTTTGTTGGGAGAGTTGAATCCCTTAACGTTGAGGGATAAAAACCTCAGAGGTGGCATGGCTAGGCACAGGTAGCAGCAGAGTCAATGGCAACGTAACCTGTAAACACTAGGGCGTACCCCAATTCCCTGTAATAGAACTCAATAGTGCTGAACCAGGTGTGGGCGGGGAAGGAAGGGGGAAGGGAGGGAAAGGGAAACCAAATAGTACCCTGACCGGGTGCGTTGAGCCGTCAAACTCCGGCTGACAACGCTCTCGGGCAGTATAAGATCCAAAAGGTTCGCTGGAATCAACCTTCTGGTGAATGCGGGGGTGCAGTGACTGCCCCGCCGAGACTCACAGGACAGTACCAAGCAAAAAAGAAAACATAGAGCTGACTAAAACTTAAATGGCGTTTAGAGTGAGACACACTATGAATAATGCCTCGTTTCATCCCTGAGAATAAGCATATGATACTTTCAGTATGATGGTGGTGCTCCACCCCCAGGCAAGCTCTGCAAAGTGTGGGTACCTCATCGGTCCGCTAGCAGCGGGATCCCGATCCCATTCCACAATGCCGGCAAGGAGGGGACATCTCTGTGCATATATATAAATGAAAAACAACAAAAAAAATGTGTCTTATCATTGGGAAAGGGAGAAAATAGGGACAACTGAAACAGGCATATTAAGCAATGACATTCCGATATCGGCAATCCGGGAATAAATCGCATGGCTAAGATATCGTAAGCCTTGAGCAATCAAAAGTCAGTCCCAGAAACACGCCGTCCATCTTGGAGGCCGGTCAGCCAGACGAGGGAGAGGACCTCAGCGCAGGGGGGCTCCTGCCGGCGAGTTTGGACGTTGTGGCGGATGTCCTGGTAACCAGAGGCGGTCCGAGTCAGTGCAGCGTCTAGGTGTAACTGGCGGATCAGGGGGGGCATCCTCGGTGAGGCCAACATCCTCCAGTAGCGCTGTGGCCTCCGAAAGGGTGGTGCATTGGTAAGGAGTGTTTTTGTAGATGAACATTAAGCGGAATGGAAACCCCCAGTGGTAAAGGATGCCATGACGTTGCAGCACTGTCAGGGCCGGTTTCAGGGCACGACGTTTCGCAATGGTAGATGGTGCTAGATCAGCGAAGACCTGGTAGTCGTGGCCCTGAAAGGAGAGAGAGGGGGACTTGCGTGCCGCCTGTAGGATGGCTTCCCTTGTTCTAAAGTAAATACATTTTGCGATAATGTCCCTGGGGGGGCCATCTTTCTGTCGTTTCGTCAGCGCTCTGTGAATCCTCTGGAATTCCAGGCGTTCCACTGGAATAGATGGCGTCAGTTCCTGCAGTAAAGCGGTTATCGTTGCCTGTAGATCTATGATCGTCTCAGGGATACCGCGAATTCTTAGATTGGATCTGCGGGATCTGTTTTCTTGATCCTCCAGTTTTAACATCAGTTGGGAATTGTCGTCCCGGAGCTGCTCCAGTTCCTTATCATGATAATCCATGGTGGCAGTGGTTACATCCATGCGGGCCTCCAGGTCTGCCGTGCGTTTTCCCAGCTCCCGGATTTCCCGTGTCACCTTGTCGGTGATCTGTTTAGAGGTGGTCTGTAATGCTTTCTGGCGCATTCTATCTATGCGCCTGAGCAGGTCATCCTGAGATGCTGTGCACCTGTCTGGCGAGGGAGAGCTGGCTCTACTGTCTCTGTCCGCAGCATCACTGGCAGAGCATGTTGGAGATGGGGCTCGGGAGGAACGTCGCCCTGTTTCTTTGGGCGCCATCTTGGAGGTTGCGTGCGCCAGGGCCTTCTTGACGGAGCGGGACCGGAGCCGCGAGTGGGAGCCCGACACCGACATGGGTAGGTGCCGCTCAGTATCCGGTACTCACTGCGGATGTTTTTAGGGTGTCAGCTACCGCGATGTGTACGGTATGTCCGTTACGGTCTCGGCGGGGTGCAGAGCGAGGTTAAGCCGCGGCCATCTTGTCTCGCCGCGCGCATGCGCCCCCCCGGCTTCTATCCCTTTAATACATTTTGTGGCCCAACTCCAGGTTGAGTTGTTGGCAAACTTAGCTGACATAAAGTGGTAAACAAAATCTGGCTGTGTGTAAGCTGCTTCAAAGTAACCAGTTAGACCTTATGAAATACCATTTCAAGGTGGCAGAAAACTGTAACACACTTCCTAAACTCACCATACACCACCACAGTGGCTGACGCACTCCGTCTCTTAGCCACAATATTGGTAGCCATACACGTGTAGTTTCCCGAGTCGGAGAGCCGTGCATGTCGTATGATCAGGTTGTGATCCGCCCTGGTGTCAATATTTTCATCCTGCAGGGAGTCGATTGGCTCTTCATTCTTTAGCCACTCAACCTGAAATAGAGGAAAAATGTTTTCAGAACTTCACATGTGCAGATGCATTTCATCACATGCATGAAGAAAAACACATAATATTTTACTATGTAAATCATGTTATTCTTGATATGTAGTCACCCTTCTTCTGACATTGTTCAGCTATTGGCTAAGGAAACACACTTATTCACTATGTATTGTTTGACAAGTAGATAGATGTGAGCCAGGTCTGGGTCTACATGGCATTGTAATGACTTTAAGCTCCCAACTGAGCCATATCTCGAATTAATGGGTCCCCTAGGTCCCAAAGGGCCCACGTGCAGCTGCAGAGTCTGCACAAATGGTATGTCTGCCCCGGTAGGCACACTAACACCCTTCAATTTAGATAGAATGCATTTCTTCTGAGATAAATTATGTTTGTTTAGTAAATATCCTTTTCATTAAATACATTTTCTCTTCTCTTTTAAATGTGATGATGTTTCTTTCCGACTTCTCATAGTTCAAGAATTACTCCACCCCTCATTAAACACTTAAGTGGTGACACTCCATGGACCCAATTCGCAAAGCAGTGAAGCATGTGTTATTTTCTGGAGGGGGAAATCTCCCCAATTGTTCCATTGATTAGCAACCACTCAACCACACTAGCTGGCCAGCTAGAAACATGCAGCAACTCAGGCACGTTCATATTATATGGGCTTGCAGGCCCCTTTTATAGGGTTTTCAACAGTAGAACCATATGTGTAACCTTAAATTATCTCCAAAAGTCAGATAATAATGACACCTGTAATCATATTTAATTGGGCCAGGATCATTAGATATGTCTTCTTGTCTTGAAAAGGCAACCTCAAGGTTATAGGACAGCTGTCTTGACGTTGAACCTATTGCTCATTAAACCAAGGTCCCTCATATCAAGAAAAAAGGTCATCTGTTCATTAAACCAACGTCAAAAAACATGTTTATGATTTTATGTTTATTATTATTATTATACAGGATTTATATAGTGCCAACAGTTTACGCAACGCTTTACAATATAAGAAAGACATTACAATACAATTCAAAACAAGATGGAAGGAACGGAGGGCCCTGCCTGTGAGGGCTTACAATCTAAAAGGGAGGGGCCATGCTTACACTCTTGTTCAACCCATTAGACCTACGTGGTTTACATGAATTCTAGTTAACCCTGACATATATATGTTTCCACTAGATATTTGTGTACTATATAAATGCAGACTTACATATAAAGCACAATTTATCACATGTTCCACATGCTAAATTTCATAATAGAAGCTTCACAGTGTGATTCAGTAGGGATAATCAATTTTCCCTATACATATTGTCATAACAATTGCTATGCTATGTGACTTATATTTTTAGCAATCTTTGCTGAAAATAATCTTCATATTAAATAAGGATCATTATAGCCTAGTGAACTGAGCCTTTTGTGATTTTGCTTGGCAAGTATAAAGGAGAGATTTATTGATGGTCCCATGCACTCTCTTATCACAGAACCATTAACACATCAACTTAATTCAATCAAATTCAAGACCATGATGTCACATCTTTGTCCCCTGATACCTTCTTCCTCCAAAAATCACTCTATAAAATTGTCCGGCTGTTGGTTTTATATTTTAAAATGAATTCCAGTGTGAATGGACCAGTCAGTGGACCTACTTACAGGAAACTGGTTGTCTTTTATTCTTCTCAAAACATTATGCTCCGTCTAAGATCCATTCCTCTGAATTAATGATTATGGCACACAGGGCACACAGCTAGTCAACACCAGGTCAGGTATTGAGCAGTTTATGATTTTAATGATTGTGTGTTGTACATTGTTTTATAGCGCATTTCGTAGGAATAAGATGTAATGCTCCTTTTTTATAGCTGTCATCAATGTTAACAGTTCTCACAACACTCTGACCTACTTTTCACATCATCTAGCAGCATCATGAAAGTGTGAAGTCTTCTAGTGCCAGACAAATACAGGTTTTGTCTACTAGAGTGTTTTACTGTATGTACAGTTACACAGCTCCATAGTCACATAGTTAGTTAGGGTAACCAACGATGCACATCTCTGTTATTTGATATTGTTAAAATTACATTTGGCCCCTAGTTCTAACTCTTGCCCCCCCCCCCTTGATCCTAGCTTATCAAGAAATTATAAAAAAAATCTATAAATCATGTGCTTATTTACCCTTCTAAGGAAAGGTCCATCTTGACCCCAAATCGTTAACTAGATAACATACTAGTATGTATTTTCTCAAATTTTCCATTAACATTTTATAGTTTAGAAAAAAACATCTAATGTTTTTTATGTGTCTAAAGTGCCTGCTAAAACCTAACCTAATCAGAGCTCTTACGTTAAAGAACAATTTTCTCAGCTGGAGTTTACATCTCCTCTTTACTAACTGTGCCCTCTTGTCTACATTGTATCATTAATCTAAGCAGTTGATTTCTCAACTTCTGGATGGGTTTTGAAATCTGCCTTGTGAAATAAAGAGCGTTAATTCCTAAAATGTAGATCTGACTGTCCCTCATTTGGAAGGAATGCTCCTCTTTTTAGAGCCAAATACCTACAGCATGTCCCTCTTTCCTCCGCAGCTGTCCCTCTTTTGGTCTGATATATAGGCCTCCATAATTCCTTATGGTCCATACCAAGGGGGTGGGGGTGGCTGATAGGAAGGTTTTCTTTGGCTACATACTTTGCGCTAAAAGGTTCCTCTTTCTCAGCTCAAACTGTTAGGAGGTTTGTTAAAATGGATATGTGGCCAAGATAGCCACACATTCTTAACTAGTTGTAACTGAACTTTAACTCAAGCGCTCACTGACCTCTGTAGCTGCAGGCACTGTGAGGTAATTAACACTCATTCAAGTCTTAGCTTCCCCTGTCCCCTCTCCCAGCGGTGACTTGGTTGCCTTCCAACCTTTTAAATTCTAATGTAAATAAGAACAGAACATCTTTTTTTTTCTTTTTGCACATACAGTACTTGGGCATTGAAAGTGAACACAGCTATTACTCGTTTCACTGAGTGAATTAAACATTCTCCGTCCCTAATCAACTCCAGTAGGTTCAAGCAGCTGAGACACCTTGACAAACACTTTAGAAAATATCCAAATAGACTAGATCAATATAAAACCACATCTTCACATTTGCATTTTCTTCCTCATAAAAAGAAAAGGGATGCATTTGATAAGTGTAGGCTTACAGGTAGTAAAACTCACAGTGCATTTCTGATGTATGCTGATATAATTCAGCCGACCCCTCTTAGATTTTAGATATTTACAAAGTGGTCTAAATGCTAATTTCAAAACATGTCCTATGCGATTTACGCAGAGTGAAAAGATACCCCATAATTCATTGAGGCAGCATAAGCTGTGGACTTGACAACGGACAGTGGAGGATTCATGAAGCAGAACCATAACTGACAGCTCTGCTGCCCAGTATACTGTGTTGCTCCAGTGGGTCTTGGCGCTCATGACTTTGTAGTGGTTATGTCAGTGTGCACAGTGAGCTAAAAAATTAAAAGACAAGTAAGGTTTCTACTTTCAAATGGTTCTTTGCTGCAAAGTCTTTTAAACTTACTGTAAAAGCAAGAATGTAAATGAGCAATAGATTGACATATATGGCTCAAAGTTTAGTTTTCAATTTCCTGCTGAATCGACCAAAATTTGAGCTATGGGTGGCCCTGCAAGCACTGCTCGGCTTGACAAAAAAAATCAACCTAACCAGTGTCTGCTCTCTCCTGACTCCTGAACGCTGTGAAGAAAAAAGAGTGGGCGAGCGCAAGCGCAGTCCAGATCATTGGGGGGGGAGAGGAGGAGAGCAACGATGAAGCTGGATGGATGCAGCTAGGCAGCCAGGAGCGCGCACGTTGGACAGACACCATGGGACTCAAGGGGACTGCGGTGGATCAGAGACCGGCGCTGGAGGGACTTTGGAAAACGAGTGGAAGGAAGATGCTGTTCGGATCAAGAGGCATCACATAAGGTAAGTTCTTACAGCAGCATTAGGAGGGGGAAACAAACTGCCAGTAATGGCACTTTAATGATGGTACATTTATGTTGAAATGACCCAGTGGTATACTAAGGGTGAGACTGTGAGAGTCGTACACCTTAGGTGCATAAAGGGATGCACTGTCTGTAGAGGCTTGGCTTTAGCATCACCCAACTATTGTGCTGGCAGTCCTAGGCAGATTGATCTCCCACACGACAGTGCCTGCACAGTTCTGGCACCAACAACACTCAGCGGAGCCAGAGAAGCAGCGGAGGTTCTCCTGTCTCAGGTAGATAATCACTGACACCAATGGTTTTCCTGACCGCTAATGTAAGAGGGTAATTCACAACTTACCAACAGTGTAAGCAGGGCCGGATTTACTCTATCTGCTGCCCCAATGCCAGGTTCCTCAAAGCGCCCCCCTATATGCAGGCTGCATACAAGTGACCTCGGCGACATTGCCAAAATCACTTGTACAAAACAAGCGGCGGCTTCCCCGCTGTAAATTTAATTCTGCTTGCCCAAAGCAGGGATAAATGTAGAAGACAACTACCCACCCAGCACCCAGAACTGCATGTCCCGGGCATCAGGATATAGGAATTCCACACCCCTGCTGCCCCTCTACTCCCTGCTGCCCAAAGGCCGGGCCTCGGTTGGCCTTGTGGGAAATCCAGCCCTGAGTGTAAGTGGGCACTTCACCGCTTGAGCACTAATCTAAAGGGGCACTATGCTGACCACCGATGTAAGGAAGCGCTTCACCTATTACCACCAACGTAAGGAAGCACTTCACCTGTGACCACCAATGTAGAATGCATTATACAGACCACCAATGAAAGGGTGCCATACACCAAACACGCTTCACATATTCCGGACATACTCCTGACCAATGTACTTTGTGAGCTGTGCTGTGCATAAAATAATTCTGACAGTTGCACTTTGCAAGCATACATACATTACAACTTCTGCACTCTGTGAGATAACCTATACATTACATACTTCTGACCTCTGTGTCTGCAAACTTTGCTATCCA